ATGTTGACCAGGATGGTCTCGATCTCTTGACCTCGTGATCCACCCACCTCGGCCTCCCAAAGTGCTGGGATTACAGGCTTGAGCCACCGCGCCCGGCCGGCTAAATTTCTTAAGCAATGAGTCTCAACTTCCTCATGTGGGCTGGGCATGGTGACTCACACTTGTAATCCCAACACTCTGGGAGGCTGAGGCAGGCGGGATCGCGAGGTCAGGAGCCTGTCACCCAGGCTGAAGTACAGTGACACAATTACAGTTCACTGTAGTCTCGACCTCCAGACTCAAGTGATCCTTCCACCTCAGCCTCCCAAGTAGCTGGGACCATAGATGTATTCATATTGCCATGCCTGGCTAACTTTTTTATTTTTTATACAGACAGGGTCTCCCTATGCCAGCCAGGCTGGACTCAAACACCTGGGTTCAAATGATTATCCTGCCTCAGTCTCCTTAAATGCTGGGATTACAAGCATGAGCCACCACACCAAGCCAACAGAGTCTTTTAGGTCTCTATTAGGATTCTTATATTATCCAGCTCCCACTTACATTTGCTATCTTGCAAATACACCAGTTTCTCATACATGATACAATTCAAGTGCTATAAAGTCATATACTTTAGGTCTCTGTTAAATACACTGGGGTTCTATAACACCACCATGAATAAACCAAAGAATGAGATCTCAATCTACCATTTCTTTCCATTACGCTGCAATTATGCTCTGCAAACAGATAAGAATTTATTATACAGTCATGACCTCCATGAATACTACTTACATTAATGGAAACAATTCAAAACACAACTTGGCCAGGCATGGTGGCTCACACCTGTAATCCCGGCATGCAGGCAGATCACAAAGTCAAGAGTGCAAAACTAGCCTGGCCAACATGGTGAATCCCTGTCTCTACTAAAAATACAAAAATTAGCCAGGCACGGTGGCACGTGCTTGTAGTTCCAGCTACTCAGGAGACTGAGCCAGGAGGATTGCTTAAACCTGGCAGGCTGAGTTTGCAGTGAGCTGAGATTGTGCCACTGCACTCCAGCCTGGGTGACAGAGTGAAACTCCATCTCAAAAAACAAACAACAACAACAACAAAAACAGAACTTGCTTCCCAAAGCAGCTTAACAATACTAGCTGAAGAATACAAAACTACTACAACTAAGGAACATCTGAGAGCTTAGATACACTAAAAAATATATTTCAAAATTAGTATCTATTGTCCTTGTATATTTCTCATCTCAGGGCAATACTTAGCAGAATGCCTGTTAATCAACGCTCATCAAATGGGTTAATTTATTTACAGTAGATTTTATCCAAAAATGAGATATCATAGTCCTCTCATAATTTTAATACTGCACAGTCTCAGGCACTGACCCTAACTTCAATCTCCTCAATCGAGACCTAAAAATATATAATGACTGAAAGAAAACATAAAAGAACAAAAACCAAAACTTCACAACATAAAAAATGACAACAATTAAGACCAATTTATTAAATCTACTAGCAATACAACACATTAAAAACCTATTTTTGGCTGGGCGTGGTGGCTCATCCCTGTAATCCAAGTGCTTTGGAGGTCAAGGCGGGCAGATCACCTGAGGTTGGGAGTTCAAGACCAGCCTGACCAATATGGTGAAACCCCGTTTTAAAAACAAAAACAAAAACAAAAAACCTATTTTTCCTGATTTTTTAAAACTTTAGTTGTCAACAGATACAGGCACAATCTCATGAAATCTAACTTTATGAGAGAAATCTGAAACTTTACACTAGGATTTTGCTGAAAGTAACTGCTTAACAGGAGTGGTTTTAGGCTAGTGATCTCATATAGGGATTTTGCTAGAATCATATTTGCTGTATATAATAACACTTAACATACAGACGAATGCATCTTTCTCCTAAAGAGACAATGCAATCTAACAATGTATATGTGTTTTACAATTAACATATCAACTATTTGTTTCAAACTGGTTATCTCCAAGTTTATATTAGGCTAGGCATGGTGACTCACACCTGCAATCCCAGCACTTTGGGAGGCCAAGGTGGGAAGATCGCTTGAGCCCGTAAGTGGAGACCAGCCTGGGCAACACAGGGAGACTCCATCTCTACAAAAAATTAAAAAATTAAAAAAAAAAAATAGCTGGATTTCACTTTGGGAGGCCAAGGCAAGTGGGATCACCTGAGGTCGGGAGTTCAAAGCCAGCCTGACAAATGTGGTAAAACCCCATCTCTGCTAAATATACAAAATTAGCCGGGCATGGTGGCACATGCCTGTAATCCCAGTTACTTGGGAGGCTAAAGCAGGAGAATCACCTGAACCTGGGAGGTGGAGGTTTCAGTGAGCCAAGATCATGCCACTGCACTCCAGCCTGGGCAACAAGCACAAAACTCTGTCTCAAGAGG